AGTTTATGCATAAGTCCCACTTAAAAAAGGAACTAATATAATTCCATCTCAAAGTATGCATTGCTAAAGGCATAATAAAATTGCATAATTTAAAACATAATATTATGCTTAGGACGAATATGCATAAAATTAAACATTAAACTCATATATCCCAAATAAATTGCATAACTTAAAGCAATTTACAATATGAGATTTTAAAGTATAAACTTAATATTCAAACACCGATGAGTCCAAACCAAAAGAGACTCAACATTTTGAATAATAATATACTGGATATATACTTTAAAATTTTGTTAAACTGTAAGCCCATGACAAAATGTTTGAATGCATAAAGATCAAATTTATGAGAAATAACTGAATTTACAAATTCAAACAATATCAAACCAAAAGGATATGCTAGCATTTGTAAATCAAAATCTCACAAACCCTAATTGCATAATTAAACTTAATATTATGCACTTAATGTGATCGAATGCATAAAACAATCTAAAGAGTATGAACCAACTAAAGGATATGAATTTAAACAAAATATTCATTTATTCATACTTAACCAAATATGGGCAATCATAATTCAAAGAACTAGATGAATTATGGAATTAATGGCAAAAGTCAATTGCCTAGCAAATATGTTTTTCCAAGATTACTAAATTGATTCAAAATAACTCTCAATAACCCAGTTGATAATATTATTATTATTAATGGCAAAATTGCAAATAACCAAAATAGCAATAAATAGCCATAATAATATTATCACATTAAGTAGGAGACTAAATATGAAAAAACAATGGTCAAAACCACTAACACTCATAAATGTTTTCGGATAAAATTTTGAAAACTCAATAAAATTTGAAGTCCGAAAAATATTAATGTCCAGAAAATTATTTTCTGAACTGGAATATTGTCACATAAATTTATTTGGAAACAGTTCAAGGTACATATCTGAATACCATAACAATACTAATGTCATCATTAATTAATCATTAATAGCAATAAGTAGAGTGAATTCCATTTTTGGTCCTACTGTTATATGGGTGTTTCCAATTTTAGTCAACCTTAATTTTTTTTGCCACTTTATGACCACTATTATTGAATGTGTTCAACTTTTAGTCCACTGTTAGTATTTTCATCAAGAGGTCGTATAATCTAGGGGTATTTTGATCTTTCTTCTCATCCAAGACTATGTTTGACTAAAAGAAATGAGAACATTAAACATAAAACTTAAGAAACCTCGTCGACCCATGTTGGAACGAACGAAACGATGTAGCTTTGGCTTCCCATTCTCGTTGTTCGAAGAGCTATCTTCGAATATCGGAGGAGGAGGACGAAACGCTTGGATTAAAAGAGAAGAGACAACCATAAAAAGACCAAAATACCCTTGGATTATACGGCCTCTTGACGAAAATATTAACGGTGGACTAAAAGTGGAACACATTCAATAACAGTGGTTGTAAAGTGGCAAAAAAAATTAAGGTGGACTAAAATTGGAAACGTCTCTATAACAGTAAGACCAAAAATGAAATTCACTCCAATAAGTAACATTATAATCACTATTAACATTAATAATAACGACAAATTAAAGTATGGCGATGCACCTTTTAAATGTTTTCATTTTTCTAAAGATAAAATATGTGACTAGTCCAAATTAGCGGTTAACTGTAACTGTAGCACTAATTATCAATAATAACCATAAAAGATAATTAATGACTAACCTTAATGATGCAAACCGCATCTGCCCATTGCGCTAACAACGATGACGATCCACAAGAGAAGAAAAAACTCCAGAATTCTCCCAATCTTCACTATCGGTGTCAATAAACTCGATGCAGCGTCAAATGGTACGTTAAAAAATTTATTGGTAGGACTTAATTACCAACATTAATAGTCATGTAAAATGAAGTGGTAACCATGCCAATGTACCAAATATAGCAGATTACCATTAAATGATAATTATTATGAAAAGTAATAAAATGAGATTAGCCCCTAAACTTAATAACAGTAATTAATAATAATTACAATAAAGGCAAAACTGTAATTAAGGGATGCCAAATACTAATCTCAATTTTACCACATAATAATTAACCATGACTATTATGATACTTAGGAGACTAAAGTTAAGGTAATAACCAAATTACCATTATATACAATATACCAACTATATCGCTTTTGCCATAAAATTAAAGACTTAATATTATTATTAAGGCCCTGAAAACTATTGATAGATTAAAAATTAATCAACTTAAACAATAGTTTGTAATTCTTAATGGCCAAAATAACAATTAAATCCTTAATCCTTAATGTCTCAAAATAGATCAAGACAATAATTATAACCCTTAATCACTCAAATTAGGCTCATAAATCGCAATGGCCCAAGTGAATTATAACATGAATGATAAATGGTCTAGTACTGAAGTAGACCCAAAACTTAATATTATTACCAACGATGAGTACCAAAATATGGTAGTTAGTAATAATTAAAACTTAATAAACATGTTATAATCAAATAAAAGTGCTACAATTATTATTTAAATATCAATCAAAATGATGAGATCTATACTTTAATGACCCAAGATAGGTCCCAAATAGCTTGTTCAAAATAGGTTCTAAAGTTCCAAAGACACATAAAACTAAATTGTGCTCAAAATTAAGGGGAAACCAAAACAAGCTACCTTAATAAGCCATAATGCCTAAAATTGGCCTAAGGATCCAAAATTGAGTGATAATTAATAATGAATTTATGGGTTAATAATATGCTAAATCCAACCTTAATGCATGCTATTATTAATGTATAATTATAACAATAATCTATGAATATACGTAGCATGCTTGGATTTGCATATTAATATTATTAATTCATAAATTCTAAATACATTGTGATAATTCAGGCAATTTAATTTACACCTTAATATTAAATTAAAATTCAAATAGCAAATTAAAACTTAATATTTTGCTCCAAATTGAATGATAATTTAATATATAGTCTATGAGTTAAAAGAGTTCATTTGGGGAATAAACTAAAGACCCAAATGAAATAAGAGAATCATGGAAGAAAAATTAAATAGGCCCAAAATTCAAAATAGACCTAATATCAGAATAAATGGTCCAGGTCTAGCCACGGCCCAAGCTTTTACGGCAAATTATGCCCTGGACCCGTGTCCACAATGAATTGTGGACACGGGCCCAAAAAGACGTCGTTTTTCAAAAAAAACGCGTCATTTAGTTAAAAAAAAAAAAAAATTCATGCGCGTTTTGCTGTTAACGGCGTTATTATTATTATTATTTTTTTTGGATTATGAATGTACAGTTATGCCGTTATGAATGTACAGTTATGCAATTATGAAATTATGAACACAGAGCTCTAACATTATGAACTTACAATTATGAACATATATAGTGATAAAATTATGACCATGGAGCTTTAAAATTGTGAATATAGAGCTTCGAAGATTATGAATGTACAATTATGGAGTTATGAATGTACAGTTATAGAGTTATGAATCTACAGTTATGGAGTTATGAATCTACAGTTATTGATCGAATTATGAACAAAGAGCTCTAACATTATGAACTTACAATTATGAACATATAGTGATAAAATTATGAACATAGAGCTCTAAAATTGTGAACATAGAGCTTCGAAAATTATGAATGTACAATTATGGAGTTATGAATGTACAGTTATGGAGTTATGAATGTACAGTTATAGAGTTATGAACGTACAGTTATGGAGTTATGAATGTACAGTTATTAACATATAGTAATAAAATTATGAACATATACTCCTATAACGAAGCGGTCTGGAAAAAAAAAAAAAATAACAGTGCCTAACGGCACTGTTACCCGTGTCCAGCAAGCATGCTGGACACGGGTTCAACGCATAACGATTGAGCTTTTACCTCCCTTCATCTCCTTAATCACAAATAACCCACCTACGGCGCCGTTGAGAGAAGGAAAGAATAGAAGCAGCAGCAAGCAAGCCATTCGCTCAGATCGCATCCCCCCCAACAACTAACGCCTCCCAGAAAAACTGAGTGGCAACGCAGACCAGCCGCAGACGACCACATGTTCTGGACGAGGAATGGTGACGGAGACGGGAGAACACACCGGCAACATCCTTAATGCCGGTGAGGGGAAAAAATCGACGTAAGGGAAAAACAAATTAAAACAGAAGAACTGAATTTTTTTTTTTTTATATTAAATTTTCCACCGTCTCTCCATCCATCCACCGTCGCCGCCCTCATTGATAACACAGGGCAGGAGGATATGAACATGCTTAATGTTGATTCAGTAGTTCAAACAATCATAGATAATTCTACCAATACAACAATCAATTACAAATAATCTATCCAAATTCCAAAATATACATAACAGATTGCATAATTATATCAAGACCAAATTGACATATTCTGTATGCACATTTTGAAGACTTAAAAGATTATGATTGAAAGTTGGTCAGCAAAATATATACAATACTCATGTATATAACAATAAATTAAACGTCGTTGATTAAGGTTATTGGCAAAATAACCAACCAGGCAGAGATTATACAAGCTCTGATACCAAATGTTAGATATACAATAGTCTAACTAATACTGAACAATAGTATACGAGAAACCTGACCTCGTATGATAGCGGAAGCGTAGCCGTGTTGATCTCCAGCCATAGTTGATGTTCCTGTTGTGTTGCCTCTTAACGGTAGATCGTCAAACCATGTTTTGTCTGACTCAGAACTCTAGATGGTGTATTGGTATCTACTGAGCAGTCTGAGTACCGTAACTGAATGTGCTATCTAATCCATAATCCTGTATCCCATCAACCCAGGTTATATTAGGCACAGAGTTTGGTTGACTAACAACTACTAGTTATTAAGTCCAACCAGACTACTTAATAAGCCTAATCAACTTGCACCACTTAATTAAGGCCCTAATATATAATATATAATATATATTATTAGGGAAAATCTTACAGATAATCCATCCTCCATTAACACCACAGTACAGACAATGGCAAATCCAGCGCCGCCGTGGGTGGAACTTCCAAGGGAGTTAACGGCAAACATTCTGCACAGGCTGAGGTTGAACGATTTTTTCCAGAGCACACAGGTGTGTACTGCTTGGTGGAGGCTATGGCAAGACCCCTACATGTGGCGCTATGTGGACTTGTGGAGTCGAGTAACTCATCGGAATCAACCACGGGACTGGGATAAAATTTGCAGAGAAATAGTGAATCGTAGTGAGGGGCAACTTATTTCCATTAACCTAGGGCACTTTGCTACTGATGATCTGCTCTTCTACATTGCTCAGAGGTATATATGCGTTTTATATTTTCCGGTTTAATGCTGTACGTGCTTATTTTGGTTGTTTGATTAGTGTAATGAATTTATGTATATTCAGATCATATGACAACATTCCCTTAGCTGAGAATGTGCGAATAAACTCCATTAGGATGTGTCTAGCTAAATCCTGGATTCTTGGTTCATAGCCTCCAATTATATGTTAATTATTGCTATCTTTTAATCCCTTGCTAGCTCTTTCTGTACGTGTTCCTTAATCTTAGTACTTTAATTTTGTTGTTATACAGAGCAAAACAGCTGAGACATCTTGGTATTTTGAACAGCTATGTTTCTGATGAAGGTTTTAGTAAAGCTGTTAATGAGTTCCCACTGTTGGAGGAGCTACAACTTGAATACACTTTCATTTCTAAACAAGGAATTGAAGCTGCTGGACAGTCTTGCGCTTTCCTCAACTCATTTTCCTTTCTCAAAATATCAAACACGGATAATATAACTTAAATATAAAATACATTATAAATTACAATATAATATCAACTAGAGTATAGTAGGGTTTGAACCATAAATATACTTTAATTAGGACAAAATTTTAAAATGCTTTGAAATGCTATAAAAAATATTTATGACAAAATATGAAGCATAATCAATTAGATAAAGTAGTTTGAATAGAAAAGACACTATAAATCACATATCTTTTCTATTAATATATGTATGTATTAATGTTTTTTTTCTTTTAGTTAGATCAACTTTAAATTTTCTTAATTGATTCAAATACGATAAAATATCATGTAAACTTGTAGACTATATTCATTAAATGATTCATAAAAACTAAAAAGTAACTTTAAAACAAACATTTGTGATTACTAAATCACAAACTATATTTTATATAAATTAATTAATTATTACCACATATAACACCCATGAGAACAGAACAAAGGTTGGAAAGTTCATGTGTGAAATATGTCATCGTCTACACAAACTATAGTCAATTCAAAGACATCAAGTTCTACACTTCAACTACTAAAGTAAGCATATCATCACAAGGCAAAGTTCGAAGGATAACACATACCTATGCTATGCAGGATTCATGTTGAGTTTCTATGTCCCAAATATCAATTTTCATTCATGTGCGGAATTGTTGGAATTTTTAGCATAAAATGACAATTAAAGTTGCTATTTTGTGATACAAATATATGTGTGGTCAACTTTCAATTTGGATCGAGTCAAAGTGGATTTGTTCTCTTCGTAGTGAGACGAAATTGATATATTGTATACTAAAAATGGATAATAGAAGAATGCGAAATTGATTCTCAAAATAAACTTATTTGAGAGAAGTCAAAACATAAGCTTAAGTAAAATGCAAAATAAGATTAGCAATTTAAAGTGTCAATCAGGCAAAGTAATGAATGTTAAATTAAGCTTAAGGAAAGCAGTCGATATACCGTGCACCACGGCGTACATAGTAATCGGTGTTAATTGCACCATTCGGTGTGGCATTTCGGTCCAAATTCTAAAGGTTCGAAGGGTTAATTCTTTTGGTTTGTATGGACTTCTCAGCCACTCAAGTGTTTTAAAATAGATTATTATAGTCGATAATTATTAATTGTATATTAATTTCGTAATCGTAAATATTATTTCAATAATAAGTGTGACTGTTTCAAACGTTATAATTTAATTATTAAAGTAGATTTTTGTGTCATTCATTTGTGCTATTTAATTCTAATCATCTATATAAACACCAAGGTGCTGCCGTGTTGGCATATTTTGAGTTGTTGGCTTTTGAACTTATCAAACTTTTGTTGATTTTCTCCTCCTCTCTCCACAAAAATCATTTTGTTCTTAATTGAAATTTCAGCCCACGCTTCCGTAAAATATCGAATTGCTCGTCTTTGGTTCTAGTTCGTCAGATTTTAAGTTTGAGTGCTCAAACACTGAAGTCGTAATCCGTTTTATCCCGAGTGATTGACGTTACAACGCTCCTAGCACTCGAGGAAAGTAGCGAATCGGTTTTAAGGAGAGTGTGAGTACACACGAATCAGATTTTTCTTTCTTCTCTTTTCTTGTGTTGGGTTAAAACCTCAGGTTTGTGAAACCCTTTATCGGTTTTATTTATCTTCATCTACTATACTAATAAGAGTCAAAGAGAGTTAGACCTATAATGGGTAGAAAAAATAATGGTCAAATTTTCTACTATACTAATAAGAGCAAAAGAGAGTTAGACCTATAATGGGTAGAAAAAATGACGGTCGAAATTTTTAATCAAATTAATCGCTCAGATGGATAAGATTTTAATTTTTCCTTGAGATTTCCTAATTTATCCTTAATTATGTGATTATCCTTTAACTTTTCCGTTAAATATTATTTTCTCCGTTAATTTCTGTTAGTTCACCGTTAACTTACTCATTGATTTCAATAAAAAAAAAAAAGTCTTAGGTTCGAACTCCGTCCCAATCAAAGTTGGCATAATAAGTATTCTATTTTACTCTTATTAAATTAAAGAGAAAAGGGTCAAATAGACCCCTAAACTTTACTCAAAGGGGCAATTAAGCTCCTAAACTTTAAAAAAGAGCAATTAAACACTCAAACTTGTCATTTTAAGTCAAATATGCCCAATTTACCGGTAACCAACAGGTTACCGGTAAATTATTGCCGTTGACCACCGGAAATCATTGTTGACCGCCGCTAAAAACCTTTAAAAAAAAAGTCACCGGAGCAATTTCCGGTCGTCTTCTCCATTGGAGAAGACTGTCCGGTCATCTTCTCCAAGAGAAGACGACCGGACTGGTCGTCTTCTCCAATGTAGAGGACGACCAACACCTCTGGTCGTCCTCTCCAATGGAGAAGGCGACCAGATCTGGTCGCCTTTTCCACCGGAGAAGACGACCAGCCGAAAATTTTATTTTTTCGTCGGAATATCGCCGGAATTTTAAATGACCTATTATTTCAAGTAAATAATCAGTTACTGGGTTTAGATGTCCCAAAATGACAAGTTTGAGTGTTTAATTGCTCTTTTTTAAAGTTTAAGGGCCTAATTGCTCTTTTGAGTAAAGTTTATGGGTCTATTTGACCCTTTTCTCTAAATTAAATAATAATTTAGTAGATACAATAAAAAATAATAAATATGCATTGATTTAATTTAGAATTATGTGTCTACAATGTCTTTATTCAAAAAAAAATTATTCATTATCAATAAATTAATTAAGAGTAATAATTTCATTAGTTATATTGTCTTTATTTTTCTCCAATGTAAAAATTATTTACACTAAAATTCATCAATTGATTATATTCACTACATTATCTATTATCTTTTTTGTGCACTATTTTTTAATTAAATATCAAAGTTATAACACAAAATAATGATATATATTTCTTTACCAACTATTTTACTAATACCATGAAAAAATTAAAAAATATATAATTAAGCCAATCATATTATAATTACCAATCGTCCAATATCTTTGGGTTACATTATAATTAAAATTTTTAAATTTTTACTACTTCATCTAAATTCCTTACATTAGGAATTTCTTTATCCATAATAATTTATTCTACAATAAATGACTGGTATCGTGATTCATTCATTGATCTTGTATATATGTACATTCATTAAATATATTAGAACCCTTTTCAAAAAAAATACTTGGTTATTATTTAAAAAAAGTTTAGTAACAGTTATAACATGGTGGTTGATTCTCTCTTAACCTACATATAGTTAAGATAATAATTACTTCACTGACCTATTAACAATCAATGTTAAATGAAATGATTCAATATAATGTGCATAATTATATCGAACCTAATCATTCAAATGATACACAAAAGCATCTAACTTCAAACAACAGTATGTAATCAACCACCATAAAATGATCAAGTTCAAGAGTCCCCAATATAAACAATAAACACATTTCAAATTAAATATTACATTTAAAGAACAGATTTATAAGCATATAAGAACATACCTCCATTTAAACTATAGATGATTCAAACACTTCTTCTATTCTGCCTGTAGTACTCCAACACATTTCTGAAAGTCACACAAAGCCACAATAAAAAAGATGATCCGAGATTCATACTAAATATTTATGAAAATCAGTAAGTAAACAATCAAATAAAAAAGCCCTAATCCACACTTAGCTTTTCGTAGATCTCTGTGTTCCTAAGTGACCTTACAAGTTTAAAAAAATTAATTAATTAATTAATCTGTACTCAAATCTTACATGCATGTGTTCGGTCTTCTATATATATACAAATATATAAAAAATAAAATTCAACCAGTATAGGAAATTGTAGAAACTCAGTAAACAGTTACCCAAATCCAAAAGCCCTAATCTATTCTTATCTTTTCAATTAGCTCACAGACTTCACTCCGTTAGCGTTTTTAGGTGACTATAGCAGTTCAAAAGAGCAGATCTGTACTCAGATCTGACATGCATGATTTCGGTCTTCCTTATACAAACAATTTAGAAGAAATAAATTAGTCACGAGATATTACTCAATGCATATAAATGAATTTCAGCCTGAAATCAAACGAGAAAATCAGTAAATAAACACTCAAATCAAAAAGCTAAGCCATAAACCACACTTAGCTATAGATCTTCCAACATTCCCTCCGTGGTCATTCTTAGTCGATTCTGAGTTTGTAGATATCAATATCGCGAATGATGATACACTGCTACGAAGATTGGGTGAATCTACTAACATCGCACAAATGTGGACCTCAACATAGAACATATAAGGGTCGTGTTCGAAATCGGAGAAATAGAGTAGCTGAGATTGCTCGATCTATCTACGAATATCACTTTTCCGACACAAACGTGTCGGAGAAGGCACAAGGAAAAAAATGGAGAATGAATTTGGATGAAAGGAGTCGTGGTTTCCAGAATCAACAACGCCCTTCTCATCACACGCCCTTCTGGATAATGCAGACATCCATAATGTAATTAAATAATCCGTATTAGATAAATATATATTTGTTTTTGTTGGTGAGAATTGAATTATTATAGTTATTATAGTATAATCATAATTGTAATTACATATTATTATATTGTAAAATAAAATAATTATTATAGGTGTAATATTATGAATAAAATAATTATTAATAGTTCTCTTTAATTTTAATATTAATTTTGTTGGTGAGAATTAAATTATTATACAGAAATGAGTTTTTTTCACTTTTGGTCCTATGACTTTAGTGCCTCCGTCAATTTAAGTTCACAACTTTCGTTCCTGACATAAGTAGTGCTTGACTTTGATTTTTTTCCACTTTTAATCCTTCCGGTCATCCGAGTGACTACTTTTAATTGGAATAAATAAATTGTCATTTATATTTAGATTTAAGAGGGATAAATAAGTCCTTTACCATCTCTTAAACAATAAAAAAAAATTAAATTAAATTAAGCTATCTAATTATCCTCATCTTCCCGTATCTTCTCCCTCTCTTACTATAAGCACACATACGACTCTAGTTCATGTATTTTTGGGATTATAGCCATGCGGGGCTA